TTGAACCTCACTATCCGGATTGTGTGCCAAGCCAAAGGCGCCTTGAAAATATTCATCTCGGCTCCTTACTGGCTCATCAACAAAACAGGTGAATTCGGCTCAAACCTCCAAGTACTTTCCATTTTTTCAACTTCGGGGGGCGGGGGGGGAAACACCCCCCCCAAAAAATTCTTAATTTTGTGGAACTCGAGAAATGGCTGGATGTGGAAACAGGATTACGTTGCATTTTCTCTTCTCTTGGAGCAGAACGAGGACAGGTGGGGAGGGGGAAATATTTACAGATTTTTAACTATGAACCGAGTTGGAAGGGACCTCGGAGGTCTTCTAGTCAAGCCCCCTGCTCAGCCAGGAAGCCTTATTACACCATTTCAAACATGCGCTTGTTTTAATTTCTTTTTTAAAGTTCACAACTTCTGGAGCCAAGTTTGTTCCCCTGATTAAATTGTCACCAAATTCCCCCTTAATTCCAGGTTGAATTCTCTCCTTGATGAATTTCCATCCGTTGCTTCTTTCTGGTGCTTTGGAAAATAAGTGGACCCCCGCCCCCCCCCACCTCTTTGGGGCAGCCCCTCCAATATTGAAACAGCGCTATCGTGTCAGTCCCCCTGCTCCTCCTCCTCCTCCTCCTCACGAAACTCCCCAATTCCAGCTGTTTGAATATTATCTCTTACTTGCATCCAAAGGGTTGCCCTTAATTTTCCGGCAAGAAAACGCAAAGACCGACGCGGCCGGCCAGTTTGAAGAACACGAGTTGGCCCGCAGCCTGAGCCCCCTCCTCTTCTGCTACGCCGACAAAGAGCAGCCAAACCTGTGAGCTTCTTTGTGACTCTGTGTGTGTGTGTGTGTGTTGGGATGTGTCGGGGTGTCTCTTCCGTTGTTACGACTCGATCCTCTCTGCGAGAGGAAGGCAATGGTGGGACAAACGAGGTTATACCTGCTAGCAAATTCACAGCTCGCGTCGTAATACCTGAGAGTTGAGAACTTAAATTTGTTCTGATTTTCTTTTCTTCTTAATGCAGTTGTACCATGAGAGTTGGCAGAGGTATCCACCCCGAGGGGATGCCCGGCTGGTGCCAGGCCTTCTCCTTGGACGGAGGAAGCGGCGTCCGAGCCCTTAAAGTGATCCAGCAAGGAAACCGACCGGGTCTTATTTATAATATCGGTAGGGTCTTTCTCTGTTTTCCTTCTTGCAACTCAATTGGGATTTTATATATATATCTAATTATTCTTTTCGGGTGGAGGGTCATGATTTTTTTTAAACAAAGTTTCTTCTTAAGTTTTTATAGTTAGCCACTCAGAGCCTTTGGGGTAAGGGGAGCAACATATAGGAGAGTATTTATAGCTCAGGGCTGAAATGAGAGATCATTGGTAGTTTCCTTGGTTTTATTACCAAACTAGGTAACAACATCAGTGCTAGAAGGGAAGGGGCTTTGCAGGGAGGAGGAGAAGGAGGAAGACTATGGGGTCCTTGGTGCTCTCTGAGCTTGGTGATTTTCTTGCAGACGTTTCACGATCCAACTAGGGAATGTCTTGTGCTAGAAACCACTCTCTTCTAGCACTGATAACGTGGCCTAGTTGGGTCACAAAAGGTCCGCCAGAAAACCCACCAAGCTCAGAGTGCCTCAAGGACCGCCCTCCCCTCCAAGAAATAAAAGTTAATTGTGCTAGATGCCCGAACTCTGGCTCTCCTGTCCTGACCAGCTATGTGTTTTAACCAGGCATCGACATTAAGAAGGGCAGAGGTCGCTACATGGATACTTGCATGGTGACGTTCGCCCCTCGCTACCTGCTGGACAATAAATCCTCGCACACCCTCGCCTTCGCGCAGAGGGCATTCGCCAGAGGACAGGTAAAAGAAGAAACCAACCTCGCCCTTCGCTCCTCCCAGAACCCCTCAGGATTTCTCGGCCATTTGAAGGCGGGTGGACTTCAGCTCCCAGCATTCCCTGTTCCTGGATTGGTTGAGTTGAGCTGCCTGTGACTTTTCCTTCCCCTCCCCGCTAGGGGACATCCAATCCGGAGGGCTACCTCTCCACCCTCCCCGGTTCCAGCGTGGTCTTCCACTGGCCACGCAACGACTACGACCAGTTGCTGTGCGTCCGGCTGATGGACGTCCCCAACTGCATTTGGTCTGGAGGCTTTGAAGTCAACAAGAACAATTCCTTCCACATCAACATGAGGTGTGTGTCGTGTGTGTGTGTGTGCGCGCGCCCTGCCAGGTTGCAAATTTTCCAGGTTGCAAAAGACACAACAATATTTACACCGTTTGCCTTTGAAACCCTGCAGGGACACGCTCGGGAAGTGCTGCTTCCTCCAGGTGGAGATCACCTTGAAGAGAGCCACCTACTGCGTCTCGTTCAGCGACACCGACAAGTTCCCGCCTCCGTACCGCATCGACAACTTTTCTAAGGTTAAAAAAAAAAAAAAATTGACGCTGGGTTGGGCTTCTGAAAATGAACAGCTTCGCTATTAATAAGATATATCAATGCCCAGAGATGGATAGATTAACGAAATGATTGAAGGACCATTCTTTGTATGTTTTAGTCTCCGGGCCTTCAATCCTTACTTACAGGTTGTTGGAAGGGACCTTGTAGGTCATCTAGTCCAACTCCCCCCAC